TATACGTAAGTGTCAACTAGACAGTACTGTCCAAGACTCTTCCATGTACTCACCGTGGAAAGTCGGGAAGGGATATTCTTGCCGAGTCGAAAATTTACCAATTCGTTATTTATAATCATTGCAACTTGTATCACTTTTATTTATATTACTGTTAAATTCGCTTATTTCATCCATCCTATCCTGAGTAAATATTAGTAACAGACCAAAGAAAACCCACAAAGGTGTATCTTTACCGCTCGAGATATATCGACAATTACAACCTGCGAAATCCTTAAACCTTTAACCTATGTAGTGGTTCCCGGTGTTGCACCGATTCGTCCACGATTTCCATAGTGGCTCCCGGCGTTAGCCATACGCCGGTTCGTCCGCAAAATCTATCCTAATGGCTCCCGGTGTTAGCCATACATTCGTCTGAACCATTTCTATGTTCTACCCCGCTTTAACCGCAAAGCCATGTGATACATGCGCCGCTCCGCATCCGGGCCCTCGCATCGCGTAACAAGTAAAAAGAAGTTCTATCATATAGAACTTTTCGTTAAGGAAAAAGTTTCTTATACTGTATTTTAAATTTCTGAATAACTGTTTTAAGAATGTTCTAAATGTCGCATAAGAAAGTATTCAGAATTCGGTATGTTCATTGACTACTAGATGGGCAAAGGAGTCTACACAAGAACCATATGAAATTACCCGTCTTCGATTTCTTTCGAACTTTGCATGCTTCTAGATAAGAGGGCGGTAAAAATGCTATTGATTTCTGGTGTCAGTTCTTTTTTTACCCGGTTCGAGAGTATGAAGAGGGAGAGGGTTAGAGTGCGCACTTGCGAAACACATCGATGGCTATAAGTTTTGAACAAAACAAGATATCGGAATGCACCTTGCGCCCAAAAATTATAAAAAGTTCATACTATCTGGCAATACATATATTTAGATGCTTCTCATTTTTTTAATGCCATTTTTACGTGATATTTCGCTTTTCACGGGTCTAAAATATGCAGAACAATTACAATTCCGAAAAAAAAGTATCATCAAATTTTTACGAAGAACACTGTAAAAAGCTTATTTCATGCTTCTTCAGATGGTATAAATTAAACCTTGGGAAAACTTATTGTTTTCGAGTTATAACATAAAATTCAAGTGAAGGCAGATAAAGAATTCGTACTAAATAAACATTTTTAATGCAAAATAATGCTTCGACATCACTTGAAGTGTACTGTACATCGCCTAACTGTTTAACGATAATTACTTTTGTCCGTTTTCAAGCGCAAACTTTCCTTTACAGTTATAGCAGGATATAGCTTTGTGTGTGTTCCAAGTGAAGTTAAAAAAAAATCAAAAAGGAAAATTGTACAATATGTACGCTCTAGTAACCTTTTTCGCAAATGAATTTTCTATTTTTACGTTCATCGACTCTTCAGAACATTCTGCGTATGAAATATTTCGCGAGGTTTCAAATTTTTGATAAAACGTATATTTATTTCAAGTGTTCCAAAGTTCCGCCGCCACATTTACAAAAATCACCGTCCTCTTACAAATATGCAAACATGCAAAGTTTGAAAGAAATCGAAGATGAGTAATTTCATATGATTTTTGAACAGGCTCCTCTGCAATATTAAAGAGCAAATTAATTTACTTGCATAGCTTTTTTATGCAGCTCATTCAAAGTTCCAAGTGGCTAGTTCTAACTATTGACGATGATGTGTCTATTAAACGTTTTAGCTTAATTCCTGTACGCAGTACCAGAGTAAATTCAACAATTTTACATTCTTTCAATTAAAAAGATCAAATTGAACATGCCGCGTAAATTATGTAATTGCAGTGCACATAATATATTTATAGTAATTGAAATAATCATATAAATATACTGTTGTAAATTACATAGAAGTCTGGTAAAAAAAAACTTCGTTTATTTAACACGGCTTCGAACAACTTTCAAACGTGAAGAATTGAAAAGAGCTAGAAAGTGAAATCCGTATCTCATAAGAGGTACCACATCAATATTCTTTCAATGTGGATGACTTAAATCTGTTAGAAAGTTCAAAGGCAAAAAGTTTCTCATAGATTGAAGAACAATCTTAATATGCTTCTAAATCTATGCGTCTGCACATATGAACAAATATAGGTACATTGAACCAGGCATAAGAAGTAACCCTTGACATAAAGAAAGACAAAGTGAAATAAGGTGGAGGACGATGATGACGATGGAGTATTTTCTGGAAGTGGAGGAAATGACTGGCAAAGTACTACGATGCCGAATAGTAAAAGTCAGAGAACAATGGATAAACGGAAAGGTACAACCAAGACCTTTGAGGCAATCGGGTAACTGGCAAAAATCATGAAACACAATGGATAGAAGTACGCCTTCCCTTCTGGTTCTTTTTGCAAGTTCCCCCGTTTCACCAAACATTCGCTAACGTAACCAGATATTTACATTTAACGCGCTTGCGCTCCGGCACATCCACTTGACCCCGAAGTAAAAAGAAATTAAATTATGTAGGCTCTAATGTGTTCTTTAAAGCACTAAATGTTCTTCATAAGCTTGGCCTACTTGTCTAAGGTACATCAATATCGTGAAACTTTTCTGATATTTCAAACAAGCGCTTCACATCAAGCATTTTTTAGGCCGAATATAGGAACACTACATCTTCTATTTCAATCAATGTGTTAATTTTAATTAATTTTAATTAAAATTGTTAACAATACGGCTTATCTTATGTTAAATATAATTAATAATTGCTGTTAGAATAGGTGGTAAAGGGAAAAAGTAAAATAAAACGTTTTGAAACTATGTGATACAAAATACGCTACAACGGTTAGAATTTGAATGGGGCAAACAAATAATTTTCGCCCGTATATTAGTAATACCAGAATTGCTAAATCACAGTACATGGTGTAATGAGACAGTCTGCCATACTGCAATACATAGTTATATTTGTAAAACTGAATAAATTAACAACGGAAAAAGAAATGGACCAAATAATTGATATTAAATTTAAACACAAATCTTTTGTTTATCAACTAACTCTACCATTTAAGATAAACCAACTAGGTAACTGACGAATTCTTTTGCTATTAATCACGATTATTAAATAGATAAATTACTATTTTTAATTAAAACATTTTAATATATCCATTTAATGAATTACATCAGTAATTTTCCAAGAAGTTAAAAGAACATAGGATAACATGTTCAAGTAATTAACCATAGCACAAAATAATAATAATAATAACAGCAATAAAACGACAATGTCTGTTGCTTCAACATATTTGTAATTGAAGAATTTCTTCGAAGTTTTATGAGACCACCCATAAAAAGAAATTCAACATTATCAAATTACATGGGAAGTAAACGTATACAGCCATCTGGCGGTGTGCTACTCAAATGTAAGAACAGTTAATATCGGTCGTCGATGACCATACACACCGTTTTCAATAGTTATCATTACATGCTAACAACAAATGAATAAACACGAATAATTGTTCACATATAAAAAAAAAAACATGTTCTGTGATATTAAATTGTTCGCAAACTAAAAATATTTCATTGAGAAAAGAAAAATGTTATAATTATATACCTTGTAAATTATCCAGCATATATGAAAGCAGCTTATGAGTCCCAGATGGTTCTCCATACAGTGCCATTACTTCTTTGCTGAGAGGATTGCCCTGAAGTCCAAGCACTTGTAATTGGAACAATTTTCCTAGTTCATATGGTAACACTCGAAGATAATTTTGGTTCAATAACAATTCTCTGAAATATAAATAAAATTTAAATCGACAACATATATATAACATTTAACTTAATTACTTTAACAAATATATTATCACACTGTTTCTCTAAATTTATGTACAGTAATTTATAGAAACAGAAATTTTAATCATACCTGAGGTAGATGAGATCCCCCAGTTCAGCTGGTAAACTGCGTAATTTATTACTACTGAGATCTAAAGCACGTAAATTGACTAAACGTCCAATCTCAGGTGGTATCCTTTGTAAACTATTATCATTGAGATACAAAGCAGTCAAATGTGTCAGTTGCCACAAGTTTGGACTCAAATTTCTTATACTGCCTGTTATCTCCAACTCCGGCCAATAAGATTTCTTCCCAGAGTTTGCATCCTCCGTGGACATGAAAGTGTGAGTACGCCGTGGGTTGCGGGACATCTTAAATCCTAAAAGAATATCAAAATCATTTGAAAATAATGAACATTAAAATCAAACAAGTCAAAAATACAAATTAAATTGAGTAACACAATAATACAATAATAAGACATAAACCTTCAAATATGTGTATCAATCAACACAATCATTTTCATAGACAATAAAAATTAATTTTAATATAGGTGATAAATATGCACTAATACCAAGAATTACAAAACAAATAAACAATTACATAAGTTGTAACAATTTGCACATAAAAATCTAAATTTAACTACTAATAACAATATGACTTGTCTATTTAAACATAGTTTTTATTAATGTAAAAGAAAAATATTGATAAAATGTGAAAAATAATTTCCTATAAGAATCCATACTAAATATAAATTTGTTGCAAAATAACATGGTTCTGCATGAGATACAT